AATATTATAAAGAAGAAAAGAGTATAAAGATTAAAGGTTTTAACTACAATTTTTATGAAAATGGATTTTTTTTTGTTTTCGGTATAAAATAGAAGTGTTATATGTTTATGTTCCGCGTGTTTTTTGGTTTCTTGTAATATTCTACTGGTATATGAGTATATGGAAGTTAAAAAGTGTTATAATTTAAAAGTAATTTAACTAAATTTATTCAAAACTTCATAATAGTTGTAGCTGACACCTCGGTTCGCTCTCATCTTCTTTAAAGTATACTAATATCTTGTGCTGTTATATAACACCTCCAATGAATGTATATAGAAGGTGAACTCATATAGACTGTTATTTCTTTTAAAATAGAATAAATCCATTCATTTATCGTGTTTTAAGAAGTAAGGGGACAATGAACTAATTTTTTCTTTTTTTTTTTGAAAAAATGAACCAAGTAGTACAAACAAAATCGCGAAACTGAACATGTTAGCAAACTTGAAAAATTTAAAATTTTCTATACAAATTAAAAAAGGAATCAGTACGCTAGAATTTTTTAAGTAATATGTTAGAAATCTGATTCTGATAATGCAATATTAGAATATGAAGATTTTTATATCGTTACGATGTTGTATCGTTACAACGGGTCTAGCTGACCCAAGTGTACCATCAGAGAGGGGGGGGGCGCCGTGAAACCTATGTTGTTATTAAAATGATGAACATCCATTTAGAATATGAATATTTTCCAATATTAACTTGTGATCCAAAGAAGTACAGAATTCCTAATACTTCTGGTCACTGTATGGGAAGCTTTTGAATAGAAATCACTCTTTAATTTTTGGTCTTCAATTAATCTAAATCAAAAGTAAATGTGATATTGGTGCTTTAAGGTTCTAATCCAGATATTAAACACTTTTTTCTTCAAATTGTTTTCAGGATTTGTCAAAATATTCTTACCTTTTGTTTAGTTATACTTCTCTAGCAGTAAAAATCACTTAGCAAGGCTCCCAAACAGTCAACATACTTCAAATATATAAAGAATTTTCGGTTACTGCATCAAGAGGTCCATGTACTTTAAAAACTACACTGCACTATTATGGTACAGACTGAGGAAGAAGAATAATAACAATAAAACAGTTGAACTGAACAACATTGTATTAAATGTATTAAACTTGTATTAAAAAATTATGATAATAATAAGGAAAAACTAAAAATGACAAAAAAGAAAAGGAAGAAGAGGAAAAATAAAGGAAAGATAAAAATAAAATATAAAATAAATAATATGTAGGTATAGATGTGCTTTTATGTAATCGTGCATGTATACAAGATTTATGTAAAATAAAAGGAAAAAGGTAGTTGATTTTTTGCTTCAAATATTATTTAGAATAATAATAGTTATTTTCGTTTTCGTTTTTTTTTTTTTTGTTATATCAAAAGAATAACTATTATTCTGCATACGACATCGCATGTACACAGTGAAATCAGAAAAAAAATTTATAATAGAAAAATTAAATTAGTTAAAATAGGGTAACCAATATGTCCTTAATTTCTTACGATTCTTTGTTGAAAATTCTCTAAATTTTTTTATATAACAGTTTTTATGAGGTGATTTATAAAATTTTTCGGAATCTAGAAAATATTTTCAAAATAAATTAAGAAAATAAATCATATACCCTTCATTTGGAAAGCAACAATTCATTGAATCGAATCCAGTTTGAGGAAAAAAAGCATCTAATTATTTTTACTTAAGATATTTTTTCTACAATAACGCGCTTCCCATAAATTCTGAGGTTGTAGGATTCATTATTTATTTCAATTTCTCTTTTCTAGAACACTAAAGTGTTATGGAACATATTTTCATGTCTTACATATTTCAGACCGAAATATTTATTTGTATTTAATGCAGACGCGTTTGTATAACATAACAAATTTTGTGGAGTTCTTAGTATATTGGCATTTATTTTTCATATTAGGTAAAAGTATAAAGCCATCTACTACAGAGTAAATGTTCAGTAATATAACAATTAAATAAGCTGGCTGTATAGGCAGTTGTAAGTGTTATACATCTAAAGTGTTATACGGTTTAAGTGTTATACGGTTTAAGTGTTATACGGTTTAAGTGTTATACATTTTAAGTTTTATACGATTTTAGTGTCATATAATATTAAGTAAACTTTATATACATAATAAAATTTCTTGTTATATTGGCCTAATATTTTTTAGTTTCTTAAAAATTTTTATAAAATACTAAAATTATTTTCTGTATAGGAAGAAATTTCTAAGTGTTATACATCAAGAGTGTTGTACAGTTAAAGTGTTATACATTTGAAGTGTTATACGATTTTAATTTTTCATATTATTACAATAATGCTGTTTTTTACTTAAGGTTCATCCAAAATTTTTATATAAAATTTTTTTTGTTATATTGGCCTACTATTTGGTAGTACTCGTATCTTAAAAATTTTTGTAAAATATAGAGAATTTTATAAATTATAAAGAAATTTTCAATACTTTTAAGAGAAATTAAGTTTTAAAATAAAATTTTATGTTTTATTTTGTATAACACTTTATGCTTAATTCTAAAAATTCTACCTAATTATATATGGGATTAGTTCAAAATTACGCAGCTAGTTTTACAAAATAACAAATAATGTGATTGTAAGTCCGAAAAATATTTGATATTCGTAATGAAAAATCCTACTTTGTATAAATAATTAAAAAAATTTGAACATGAGTAAAAATGATTAAGAAAAATATATAGCTAATTTTTTTTTTTAATTTTATAAAAGAATCATGAAAATAATTTACTAATATGAGTATTTGAAATTTTTTGTCAGCAATATTTTTTTAATATAAATTAATCAAAAATTCTGTAAAAAGTTCTTAGTAAAACAATTATTCCATGTCCGAAATATTCGACATAATAAGATAAAAGAAGGCAAATTTCATATTTATGCTGAAAAACCTAAACAAAAAATAGAGGTTTAATTAAGCAAAATTAGTTCAGGATGATTTTTTTTTAACAAAAACTTTTTTAAACATAGTCAGCAAATTAATTATTCTAAATATTCTGCACACGGTGGTAATAAGCCAAAATATAAAGATTAAAAATATTTTGTTGTTTTCTTTTTTTACATAGTATAATTAAAATAATCTTCGTAATTAGCTTAGAATGCGGATCGATAAAATGATGAATAAACAAAAATTTTGTATTTTGCTGATATTGTCGAACAATGATGAAAATATACGTCCCATCTATGCCACCATATATGAATGCAATATACAAAATATCGCAATAAATCTTATACTTGTACATATTTTGACTTATGTAGAAATTAAAATCCTTATGATGAAAAGTTCCCTTAATCAACTTACATTTTTTTTACATAATATACAATAAATAAAAATAGAAATTCCTTTCAAAAGAACAAAAATATTATAACAATAAAAAAAAAAAATAATAAATACTGTTATATTCATTTTATTTGTAACTCTCTTTCAAAATGTTAAAGAGTAATTTAATTTATTTTCCGTAGTTTTATTTTCTGTATATGTATGTATATAAGTATATCTATGGGAAGATATATACATATATACATATGTATGTATATATATTTTTTGATTTATTTCAAATTTATTTTCTTAAGTAAGTAGTGCATATGTAATTACGGTATAACAAATATTGTTTTTATAGTAGTACAGAGTGTATTTTTATAGGAGTTATTTAAAATGATTAAGAAATCAAAGATTTTGACGCTAAAATTTGATGAAAACGAATAAATTTTAGAATAAATTTTAGGGTAATAAGTTGAAATTTTAATAAATGATTTGTTGTTTTTCTCTAACTATGCCTACAAAAATTATACTATAATTTTGTGGGCATAATTAATATAGTTTTATATTCAAAGATATCGAACTTTTGATAAAATAGCAATTGATGTTTTTATACAACCCACATATGTAATTTACAAAGAATACTCTATAATACGCTCTAAAATGGGTAATTAATATTATACAAAAATTTTGCATAACGTTAGGCGAATCGAAGTTGAGAAATGTTGAGATAATGTAAAAGGTGAAATACTCATATACGAGTATAATAAATTAATGTTTTTTTCAACAAAATATTATTTTTCTAGATTTTCAAATAATCAGTAATTCAATAATTTATTGTAGATGATTTTTGCTCATTAGCGCAGCTACACTGAATTTATAACAAAACAATGTAGTTTTTTTTTGTTAAAAAAATCTAGCTAATTAGCAAATTTTGTGATTAAACAATTAAATCAAATATGTTTTTGAATGAAACCAAATTTTTTGATGTCCATGTTTGCTCAACATTCAGTATTGGGTATTCAGCACTGAATTTGTATAAACTCAAAAATCGAAAGCTTATAGCTTTGTTTTAACCACCATGAAATTGTACTTAATAATTTCTAAAGGACAAACTAGAAATTTAAAAATTTTGCGTAAATTTCATTTCTAAAAAGTTAGAATAGGAGAAGTCTAATAGAAATTAAAAGTAGATATGAACGTTTTATGTCAACTAAAGTGTAAAATTTCGAAAGGACTTATAACTTTTCTTTTACATATGATGTTTCCTCTTGTCAAATCACAATAACCGAAATCAGATTTGCAATAATTACGTGCTTGGAAACTTAATTATTTTATAATTTATTTAATTTTAGCTTGATAAAACTAAATGTTTTTGGTCCAACAAAACTTGGTTGTACTCTATAAGAATGGTTTCTACAAGAATTGGAAATTAATAAAAAAAAATTTTTATGAACCAATAGAATTACAATTTCATTACATCGAGATAATTTCAAGTGAGATGTTACATTAAAAACATCATAACTCCTGAAAATATGCAATATTTTATGTTATAATTATTTTTATTATTCCTTATTTCTTCATTTACTTCAATTATATATAACAGAATTCACTTAATTAAATGAAATTCTCTAGAAAATTTCAAATGCTAAAATGCTCTTTTAATTTTGCTAACAAAAGGGGAGGCCCCAACAATTTCTCCATTTTCACATGCTTTATTTTTTTCTTTTAAAACTACAAATTCCAATTAATAAAAATTATCAAAAAATCTATTTCTTGAACAAAAAATATTTTATAATTAAAGAAAAAAAAATTTTATTTTTTTTAAACAGATTTTTGCAAAAAATTTTAATATTTACTTATATAAAGTGTCTCGAAATAAACAAAAATTTTATGTATTTGGTGAACATGACATTTATGAAAGTGTTATAAATTTTTTTTTTCTGTTTTTTTTTTTTATTCGTATAATCATTTTAAAAGAGTATACAACTATATTATATTATATAACATTTAGAATATAAAAAATTTTTCATCTTTGCCAAAACATTGTCAGAACAATTATAATAATAGTAGATAATATTGTTAACGATTGATTAATTTTTTGGTGGTTTCCTCTTCCGCAATAAGTGAATTGTTCCTCCTAAAATTATAATTAAAAAAAAAAAATATTAATAAATTTAATTGAATTTCTTATAATTTTAATTTGTATATTTTATTAAATTTATTAAGTGTGTCAGGAAACATAGGGTGCGTTTGGAACAGCATGTAAATGCCGAGACTTCTCGACTTATAGAGGAGAGAGTTTGGGCAAGAAGACTGAAACGAGTGAGACTTCTCGATTTAATCTAAAATGCTACATTCCTTCACAGAATGTACACATAAAAACACAATAGAGTAAAATTTATGGATAGTCAATTTGATTTGTTTTGGAAGTTTATGACTACCCAGGTGTGTTTTAGATTGGGTTAAAATCCCCTTACTATTGATAGGTTTAATGATGATTTGGGTCCGTTTATCTTTTTCTTTTCGATGATTTTTAACAACTGTATTAAAGAAAATTAAAACAAATTTATGAAATTATAAGATCTGTTTAGAAAAAACAAGACGACTTGAGACAAAACAGACTTAAGAAGTCTTAAGTTTTTTGACCCGTTAATTGACCTGTTACGTTGGTTAATTAAATAATTATTATGAGTGTTGTTAATTATAATGAGTTTTATGTTTATAACATAATTCAAATAATTCGATATTTAATGAAATATACAAAAGAAAATTTTCAAAATGAAATTTTTTGAGTTAATCAATCTTAATTTTTAATGAGACTACAATAGAGTATATTACATTCACATTTATTTTAATAAAACAATCAAATTTGAAATTCTTCATAATTAAATATAAAATCATAATAATTTTCATTCAATTTTCTATTTATTCGAATGGAAAATAATTTTTTATTAAAATTTTTGAAGATTTTTTTTTTTCTCACTCTTTCATTTATATACGCATATGTAGGAGAGCAATTTATTTTTATTTATTAACTGTTATTAAAAGGTGATTTATTATTATATATATATGTATGTACTGAAATTTTTGTATAATAACAACACATTTCAATATATACAATACATATATTTGTATATAATTATATAATATACGATATTATTACTGTAATTCTTATATATATGTATATTTATATAAAATTATACACTTACATTTTCATGGTGGGTATAACATTCAGTTAAACGTCGTCTTTCTAAAAAGCTCAAATTTAATTTATAACAAGGAAATGGAATATCATATAAAATTTCTTTTGGTTCTGTTGATGGTCTTCTCGGTTCTTTATTATATAACATTTTTACAACAACTAATAATAAATTTGATTTTGGTATCCTTTTAATATGAAATGGCCTCGAATAATTCTTTTCAAGTGCAGCATTATATTTTATATTATCGAATAAATCTTGTTGTTGTAATATATATAAATGTGATTCTTTATCACATGATCTATATTCGACAATCGGTTGTTTCGGTTTTATATATTCTTCTTCACCATCTTCATCATAATGTTTTTTTTGTTTTGGACTATGTTGTATTATTTCATCATAATCTTGATTACTTTCTTCATCATAAACTATATAATTATGAAATTTATTTTTAATATTGAAAAATTAGTTTTTGTTTTTTTTTTTTTAGCTTACATGGAATTGCTTGAACATAATAATTTAAACGTGCCCAATACCACATTAATTCTGTTACTAAAACATTAATTATAGATCCAATAACTTGAATTGGCTTCGTTTTTTTTTTTTTCAAATGAAATTCAAAATAAAAAATAAAAAAAAAAATTATTAAATTTCCTGTTGAAAATTTACGATAAAAATTTTATTAAAAAAAAACAAATTTTACTGTTAAAATTGTTGAACAATCAGATGATTGTTGTGTGACTTCTTTACAAACAGCTTGAAAATCATAAACAATAACTTCTTTATAAATTCCAAAATCAACCATTGCTTCCATAACAGCACCTTCAACATCACCAAAAAATTTACCAGTATCATTAACATTTTCCGATAAAATTATATAACCATTATTATCGATAACAAAACATTCATGATCATCGGTTGCACATGTTTTTGTACAATTTCCACACTAAAATTATTTAATTTTTAAAACAGCTATAGCTAGATCTATATAACAAAGAAATTATTTAAAATAATTACATCAACTTTAGATGTTATCGTTGCAAATCTTTGATACATTAAAGAATGTGAAAATTGAAAACCAACAACACTTCCAGGTGCTTCTAAACCACCATCTCTTGGGAATATTGCATGTGATGATGTTACTTTTAATTCAGAATCTTCTTCTGGATCTGATGCATGTGGTACAGAATATACAAAACTATCTGGATCGATTGCATGTTGAAGTATTGCACTTTTATACCAAGTTTCATCAATTGCTGTTGTATGATAATCACCAAATTCTTTATCACCTTTAACTTCAACTTCACCAAATATAAATTGCCATCTTGTTAAACCGCTCATTGTTGCAACAAAACGTAATGTTGCATTATACATTTTAATTAGAGCACGTTCTTTTTCATCAGTGAATTCCCATGCACCATAACTAGAATTTGTTACCTAAAATATTTACAAATAAAGTCATTTAATTTAATTTAAAAATAATTTTAGTTATTTCAAATACCTTTGCGTCAAATATAAGTAGCTCAACCAGTTCCTTATTACAATAGTATGCGTCGTCATCTAGTGATTTACGGCCACAATCTGTATATGGAATGAAGAAGAATAATATTAGCATTAGAAGAATTATTTGTTATACTAATCAAAACTTGGAAAACTAAATTTAATGTCGAATTTTTAGCCCCTTTTATTCGATTACGGGATTAATTTCATAAGAGATAATGCTGCTCTTAGTTTCTTTTGTATATTATTTATTGATATCGTAAATTATTATTGAAATTTTACACGAGAATTTCTTACAATATAAATTGTTGTTCTTTATATGTTTGGGAACGCATTGAATCTCGTATGTGAAAAAGAAACACGTAAAAATTTTGTGGAATTGTTAAAATATGAAATATAACTTTAAGGTATCTGAGAGATTTAATTGGGAAATTATGTGACAAATGACAATTATGTGACACTTAATATAGAGAATTTCTTTTGAATACCTCCTTCATCTTCATCTTCATCTTCCTCAGAATCATCATCTTGTTCATATTGTTCATGCCATTCCCATGTTTCACTATCCATTATTTTCCCCAAGAAATGTTTTAGCTCATCTTCTGGTTTCTCAAATTCATGTCCTTCAAGATAATGATATTTACAATACACCCTACAAAAAAAAATTCTTTTTTTAAAATTTTTAAATTGGATTTTTGTTTTTTTTGTATTCTTTATATACCAATCTGGATGAATTTTCCAATTTTCTCCAAGAAAATAATCCGCTATATTAATTCCTTTATTAATATTCATTTTTGATTCTTCACCAACTTTTATCCATGTTTTACCATATTTACTTGGTAAAACTAAACCTAATGAGAATGGTGTTTCTGGTATTGGTGCATAAAAATAATCTTGTTCCTCCTCAGATACTCTTCTCATTTTATCATAATGAAATTTTATTTGAACATTTAAATTTTTACCAGTTTGTGATTGTACCATATTTCGGCGAATTTCTAATAATTGTTCATTTATTTCTCTTGGATCATCATCGAAATCATCATTAATTTGTTCAATTTCAACTAAATCTATACTATTATAATTGACTTTTAAACGCTTTTGTTTCGGATGATCTAAATCATATTCATCTTCATGAATATACTAAAATTAAATTAAATTATATAATTAAATATATTTATGAATTAAAAATATTTATTTTACCGATGGTCTTAAATCAGGATGCAATAAAACATAACCATTATTACTAATTACAAATGAATAACCATTGACACCAAGCTAATTAAAGAAAAAATCTAAAATATAATTTCAATTGAACAGCAAATTCTATAATATCAACCTTGTAGGGTAGAGTAATTCTATCAATATCTTCAACTGGTATATCAGTTCCAGCTACACCTAATAAACGAGCTTGATTAGCTGTTGAATTCTCTTGAAGATAATCACGATTAAATGCTGGTATTCCAACAGCAATTAATAATCTTGGTGCTTCATCATTTTGAACATCTTCATCACCATCACTTTGCGGTTTATACTATTAAAACAAAATATATAATTTTAAATTTCTCTTCAATTTTTTCTATTAGACTAAATTTTTATTTACAGTTCTATCAGCAAAAGCATGTGTCCAAGTCGGTGGATGTTCTTCATTTTGTAGGACAAGCGGTGTAGCTATAACATCTACATATTTCAGTACTTCTCCTTGTACTTCGTCCAATGTTTGTACATGTGAATAATAACCACGATTTAAACATGCCATCCATTGTATTTCTCGAACTTTTGTCACTTCTTTACCCAATAAATATGTGAATATTCTGACTTTCATACCTTTTGTTGAATTATCTGGTGAATCCCAATTATATTGTTGATAAATTTCTGTAAAATTACTTGGTATACCATCTGTTACCAACATAATAGCTTGATTACATCCAACTTGTGATTCATTACAGCCTCGTTCGATGTAATACTAAAAACAAAATTAAAAAATCAATAAAATTGAACAATTCTTCGGATCAAATGGTGTGGTTGGAGCTTTAATTTAAGGGTCCTACTCAATTTGTTATTTTATAATTCTACTAACTTTTCTAAGCAATTCGAATGCTCTTGGAAATGCTATAGTTAAATTAGCATATCCTTCTGGTTCTAATTCACTTATTGCCTCATAAAATACTTTAATATTTTCTGGTGTTGCTTGTACTAAATTATCTTTAAAACATGGTATAATATCATCTGTTGTCTTTGAATAATTAAATATTGTAAAAAAATCATTATTCGAAAATGTATTCATTATTTCATTTATCGTAAATTTGGCAATATGATTACGAAAACCTCTCATCGATCCAGAATTATCCATTAAAATAACAATATCTTTTGAGCAAGTTGCCGTTTCAATATACCATGATCTTTTTCGGCAATCATATGTATCAGCTTCGGTTTCTTCAATAGTATCATCGATATCCCACTGTAATGCAGGATAATGTCTTAATATTCCTGTATCAGAACAAAAATATTGCCATGATAATGCTGGATCGGTTTTATAATTTTGTACAAAAACATCATCTAATTCTTCTGACCACATAATTGTTCTAAGTACATCTGGACCTAAAAAAAAAAATACAATTATTTTATTTGATAAATGGGCAATAATTGAAGAACAAAAAAACTTACTTCTATCAAAAATATTGGCTGGAACATGTACGGAACTATAGTTTGTATTTACATATAAATTAAAAAAATGTGAATCCTCATTTAAATCTAAATCTTTATACATATATGCATAGTCTTGTAATGTTGGAAACATTGATATATTTGTTGTTGGCTGTGAATTAAATTCAGAATATTTACTAGAATAATATTGAAATTCTTCTTCAGCATATGTTCTATTAAATTCAAAATTTATTGATACATTCTCAGCTTTATTCAGAATACATCTAATTGCATCAATTTTACGTGCTAGCATTCGGCTAACATTTTTTAATATCGATCTTATTAATGATTCACCATCTTTCTTCTCCACTCTGGCATTATATTCTTTGTATTTCTATGTAAAAAGAAAAATATTTGATATTAATATTTTAAGAGGATTAAAGGAAATTATTTAAGTATGTCTAGAATCTTACAGCTTTAATCTCTGGAGATTTTGTCATTCGTTTACCGAGATCCCATAATTCATCACCAATTTGTTCAGCCCACTTTCCGATCCTGAAAACAAAGTAATTATAATTAATAAAACAATAAAATAAAAAAAAAATGAAGTTTTTATTCTTAAAATAGAATTACGAGTTTTAGGACGCCATACGTACAAAACCTACGGAAGGATTATCGATATCACTATCAACTAACAAGTCGAGAAAATATGTAGTACACGCGAGGGTTCAATTGACTACAAATGAAATCTTATAATATTGCAGCGGGTGCTTTTAGCAGACACTTTATAAATTAAGTAATAAGCAAGGATCTTAAAAAGTTAACGTTCCATCTTCCGCTATTTTCCGAAATTGCCGAGATTTTGGGTTTACGGGAAACGAACTCGTGTTCTGCGAGTGTGCACGTAAAATTCAGAAGAAGAATAAATTTTCAATGGGGTTTCATTTTGAGGGTACGAAAGACATTTTAGAGTAGTTTGTAATAAATATGAAATTGACAAGGTTAACAGATTTGAAATGGATGGCCGATGGATTTTTATCAGCAGGAAGAATCATATATGAAGCTACATCTCTTCTCTTACTTTTTTCCCTGCTAGATTAATTTTCTCAATACCAATTTTTGCTGTAAATTAATGGCCCATTTCTGTCAATTAGTATGCACAGTTTTAAATAAAAATTCATATTTAAATTAAATTGCATAAATATTTATTCTTCCATTCGAATAAATTTTGGAAAATTTGTTGTGGAGTAAGAACAAATTTCAGTTTCAGTAAGATAAGCACATTTTATAAAAATTTGCTTTACAGTTACTTGATATTACTATAGAATATTAAATAAAATTTTTTAACATTTCAAATCAAATCAAATTGAAATTTATTATTTTACATTTGAGTGCCCCAAATAATTACAAACTTATTTAGATTGTTTAGTAAGCATATGGTTTTATAGAATTTTTTTTCACCCATGTACTTTACGTGATATTATAAACAAAACATCAAATATTAAATGTGTATACACAAAATTATTCAAAGTATATACATACATACATACACTACATGTCGAATAATATTAAAAGAAAATAAAGAATAAAAGTCCTTGATCCTGTGTCTTCGGTAAGTATTATTTTTTTTGTGTTACGGTCGGTTAAAATTCTGTTTTTATAAAATATTTATATAATAACAATGTGCCCTAATAAAATATATATATGTGTTAGTGAATGTATATATAAGTATATGATTGTATACTTAAATAGCCATATGATATGAATATAAAATTAATATTAAATTTAACCCTAATGTGCAATACTATAGATTTGTTTTTGAGATGTATAACAAATGCAGCGGTATTAATGTTCTTAGCATTACTAATTGTTACTAATTGTCGTTAGTAAGTAAAATAAAATATGCCAAAGCAATAAAATCTTAAAACTATTCTAAATTTAGCTGGCTTTATCAAGGCTTAACTATGGAAGTCAATTGTGATTTGGTCGACTTGTTTTTAATAAATCGTTTTTTACTGAATTTAATAAGTCGGAAACACAAACATTATAGACAACTGGGAGTAACAATGCACCGTAACCAGTATACAGATCCCCCCACCTCTGAGTACGGAATTTGAGGCATGTCTGTGGTGTTTGTATTCATATATATTTGCTGCATTTTTCCCAATAGTTTTTGTTTAATAACAGAAAGTGCATACGTGAACTCTTTGACATTAATGGAAATCGACATTTTTGTTTGTATGCAATTCTGTGAACATACAATATTCGGGACGTCCGTATATTGACTGGAAATTCATCTTTAGTTTTGACTATCTATATAATTTTATTTTATTAAAAAAAGGAACATTTGCAAAAAAAAACTAACTTTTATCAAACTTTTATCAGGCAGAAAACTGTTCGAAATAACAATTTTTACTGAAATAAAAGCGCGAAAAATATTCGATATTTTTCTTAATTTTGTTATCGTTCTGTGCCTGTAACCAATAATCTACAAGAGCAGCAAGCACATGTATAATATTAATTAAAATTAAATTAAAAAATTTCTTTATATTTAACATATTTACATATAATAATAAATTAATAATTGCTTTCCTATAGATTCCTTATATTTATTGTTATACATATACGTATAACAATAATAAAGAATTTAAAAACATTAAGTTTGAGGTTAAAAAACTAAAAATTTTTTGCACATGAATGTCATATTATTATACAGATATAATGTGTTATATTATGTATTACTCATATATAATTCAAGTATATACATATATATATATATATATATGGAGACACTTATACAATGTAGCTATTTTAATATTAATGTACTCATAATATTATATTTAAAAGAGCACATTTTATATTATTTTCTATATTATTACAATATGGCTATTATTTGTATATATATATATATATATACAACTATTAAAATATTTAATGTACCCGCACATATGTTTAAAATAGAAAAAATACATAATTAATTTCTATTATTTTAGATAATACACACATGCATATATATATATATGAATAAATGTATATAAGTATATATAAAATAAATTAAGGTACACATTATATTCAAATAAAAATAATAATTAAAATTTTAAATAATTTAAATTGTTATATGCCTCTTACAATTGTATACTCTTTACTTAATTATTATATTATTAATGTTGATGAATACATATATAACATAATATTATATATATATATATATATTTATATATAAATCTGACACATGTACTATGTATATTTATTTAAAATTTATTTAAACTTACGCATCATCTTCAGGGGTAGCACCAACATTTTGATTTATTAATATAAATATAAAAAAAATTAAAATTAAATATATTTGTATAGGATTATTAAGAATAGAGGAGAGTTTTGATGATTTTGGCACCTGATTTGAGGCAAATAACTTCATTTTCTATATGCAATATTAATTTTGTTTTTTTTTTTTTTCATTAAATTTTTTATTTATTATATTTTGACACTAATTTTTTTTTTATATGTGTTATACTTGTAGTAACATTATTATTATAATTTATATTATTTGAAAATAGTTAAAAGAGAAACTGTTATATTATTATTAACTGTTATATTTATAACTGTTATACATATAACAAAATTGAAAATTTTATAAAACTTTTATATTATTATATAAAAATAAAATGAAACTTTTGTTTTTTTTTTTTTTTATAATTTTTTTGTGGTTTTCTTGAGTTTATTTGTTATACATTTTGTGCGAATTGTGAATATTTAGAATAAAAAATATGTTTTTTTTTTTTTTCAATATCAAGTTTAGTTATAACCCGGATGCAACATATAATAAAAATATGCAAAACACATGTGTGTCATCGTATGTGTGTGTGTGTCTGCTATGTGTGTAGAATTTTGTTCGTTTTATTTTTTTTTTAATTCTTTTCAAATTCTTGTTGTCCCTCTTGTATTATTATTATTTTTTTTTTTTTGAAAACTAGGTGAAAAATATTATAGAGTTGATTGAATTGAATTATTTTATATAGATATTTTATTCTTTTGTATAAAAGAATATAACAGAAACAAAAATAATAACAGCAAACAACAACAACAAATTAAAAAGTATGGCAAAGATAACAATGAAAGAAATGAAATTTTTATTTTTATTTTATAGAACAGAAAAATAAAAAAATATCAGCTGTTCTATTAATAGTTTTTTCTTAAAAAAAAAAAAAAAAATTTTTTTTTAGATTTTTTTTTTTTTACATTTTTAAGGAAACATTTTTAATTTCACTTTATTAGTCTTTGTTTTTATTCTTTTCTTCTAATTTTTTTCAATTTAAAACTTTTATAAATTTCTTAAATTTTTTTTTGAATAGAAAACATTTCACATCACATAATTAAATTTTTTTTTTTATTTTATGTAAAAAAAGGAAATGAAAATCATTTTTTATTTAAATTTTTTAATAAAAAATATAAAAAAAAATTATTTTTTCTTTGTTTTTCTTTGTTTTTTTTTATTTCTCTATTTAAAAAAGTATAAAGTAGGTAAAAAAGTTATTTGGCATTAAAAAAAAAATTTTTTTTTTAATTTTTTTTTTTATTTTTTTTTTTAGGAAAATATTATGAACTTAAGACACTTGATTGAATGTATAAAAATAACTAAAAAAATAATATTTCTTATTCTCTTCGAAATTTTCAAATCGAATCGAAATTAACATAAAAAATGTGCTTTTTTCATTTTCTTCTATATATAAAAAAAAAAAACTTTTATATTTTACTTAAATATTTTTTGAAAAAGCTTTTATATATTTTCATAGTTTAATATTCTAAATTGGCGGCGGCGGTAAACTCCGACCCGATCCAACCCGAACAATTTTTGAAATCACAAAACACACTATATATACGAGTATGTTGGTGCGAAAAAGTTGCACATGCTCTCTTCTTTTGTTTACATCATGAAAAACACCGTGTACGTATATATACACTCAATAGAGAATATTTGCGTGTTTACTTTCAGAGAATATAGAAAAATTCACTTATTTATTTCGTTTTTGAAATTTCGAAAATCAAAAACAAATAATAACAAAAAATTAGAATGTTATATGTGGGTAACGGTATATATGGAACAAAAGAAAAAAACAAAAAAGAAATAAATAATAAATTTTAATAAAATTAACACGCAAGAAATGGGCACACGTTATATACACAATATAAAATATGTATGTATATAAAAATAAGGGCATTTAGGAGAGAAAGTAATGGGAAGAGTATATGAAAAATAGAGCAAACGGAATAAAAACTGAATGAGAGAAGAAGAAATTTGTTAAAAGAATAATAATTTTGAATATTTAATAATATTTGCTAGTATATTATACAATATAGTATTTTAGTAATTATAACAAATTTAATAGTACAGGATTGCAGAGGTAGAGAACAAATATGGATTTATAAATAAAAATATATGGTGGAATTAATACTGAATTTTTGGTTTAAAGAAAAAAGCGGATGAATGAAGAACTAATATCAAATTTTATTTGAAATAAAATTTGTTAATTATATTTAATCTTTTTAATGCGGTCGTATATATAAAATCATATTTGAGTAATGGTTCACTTAATAGTAACTATAATATCCAAGAAAACCAGTTAGGCCCACTAAGTTTTTATAAAAAATTTCTTGAAAATCTATTCATTATTTTATCAAAAATTTTAAACCGGGGGCTGTAGGATCATTTCTTGTTGCTAAAATCTTATGGACACTAAAATTTGATAACTTTGTCGCCTCAACAACTCAGTTATATTTCAAATTCAGGTATATAAATTTTCATGAAAATCGGATTCTATCCGAACTTGTGATATAGGGATACATACCTCATATAACATACCTCATTGTTTGATTTATATGAAAATTTCAGCGTGTGAAATTTGTTATTTTGGATAATGGGTTGGTAAATTTTAACATTTAAAAATATTTATTTTTGAAATTACTCTTTGTTTTTAACCTATTCAACACAATTCTTTTTAATTTTATGAAATAAGATATGTAATAAAAAATTTACTTTGATAAAATACCGAAAACATGCAAATGACAGTGATGTTATACTTGAAACAATTCAGTTTTTTTTTTCTTTGCTAAATTTTTCAAGTATCACGTGTATTGCTTAGTATTTAATTTACGAAAAATGTGCCTTATCTTAATTAACTTTCATCTTTTTTTTTTATTTCGCATCTTTATAAAATAATGTCCTTCATCTTATTTCTGATTCTAGTAGAAATATATAAGTAGGTATATGCAATATAACATATGTATATACTATAGAATTTTCATATTATTATTGATTTAATTAAATTTTAAATATTTTTATGATAAAATTTGGTCAAAATTATTCTAAAATAGAATTAAATACTATTATATTCACTATTATTTTCATGAAATACAATTCTTAATAAATTTTAGGGATTTTAGATATTTAAAAACTATTACTTACCTATACTTAAATATGTGATTTACTGCAAAAAACATACAAATACTAAACGAAATCAATATATAGTTGTTACGTATAATGTTGGGGTACTTTTATACAATAATTCTCAAGGCGAATAGTATTCGATTGCAGAAAATAATTTTTAACAAATTTTCTCTTCATTTTTAAATCTAATATTATCTACCCATACACATATGTTTTTTAATTAATTGATTTATGAGATATGAGATTTAAATAAATAAATTAAAGATATAATAAATAAAAATTGTATAACTCAAACTCTAAAATAGTTTTAAGCTAGAATTTTATACAAATTAAAAAAAAAAAAACAATTTAACCCAAATTTTTATATATTACTTAACTAGAAAATACCATTTTTTGAGTTATTACAATATAGAAATCAAGCACAATTTTGTATACATTCCGATATTAATATGTAAATATTATTAATCTATAATAATAATAATCTGTTATACAGATATTATATAGTATAATATACAGTATAATAATCTGTTATACAAAATTTAAATTGAATGCTGCTGGATTATTATTATTATTTTTCTTTTTAATTCAATAATCGTAATTAAATTTATAAAAAATTAAATTAGGATTTAAGACAGCTTAATTTAATGCTAGATTTTAATGTCACATACTCACACCGTCTTCTCTTTTGACCGCTCTGTTTGTATTTATCTCTCTTTCTCGATTATATTATGAGAGAAACATTATAATTATATTGTGTTGTGGGAAATTTTATAAAGTAAAAGTACACATGCACTTTTCAACTAAATTTCAATGAAATTTTATGTATTTTTGGTGTTGCCAGATGTACAAAATTAAAATAACTTTAAATTTATCTTTTTCTTTTATTATAATTTTATTTTCCACTTTTTTTGTATTATTTTTTTCTTTCTCTTGTTCATAAATATGTTTTTTGTTTTCTTTTTATTTTTACTCTTTAGTTTTAATGAAGAATATTTTTCTTAATTAATTTTTGTATTTTTATAATATTTTTAGGTTGTTGAAAAAATCAAAAATGCCTACTTTCTCTTATATAATATTATAAAGGTATGTATGTATATAAGTATATATTTTATAAATAATGTATAACACAAAAATAAATTTTCAATTTTCTCCCATTTTTTTCACTGTTTTTTTTTCTCTGTTTCAAAAAATATAAAAAAATTTTAAAGGGGAAAATTCACTTGGTTTTTTTGGTTTTTCTCTTTTTTTAAATTTTATCAGAAATAGTTCTACATTTTTTTTTTGTTTGTTTTTTTTTTATTACATACCTATCGTGATTTTAAAATTTAAAATTTTTTATCTTTTTATAGGTCATACACAACCAATATTTTGTTTTTGTTTTTTTTAATTTTGTTTTTGTAAATTTTTTATTTATAAGTAGGACTGACTATATTACAAAAAATTAAAAATTTTTATTTTTGTTTTAAAGAAGCTACTATACTTTAAACATTTATCATAAAATATGAATTTAACATAAAATATATAGGTAGGTAACTATTCGATAGATTTAAAATTATAAAAAAAAAACATTTAAAATTTATTTTTTAATTTTCACATTAATTTAATAATTTTTGTTTTTTTTATTTCTCATCTGCAATTATTTAAAATTATATATGTACACTATATTTTATAAATTTTACACACATAATTATTATCAATTATATAATTTTGTATAATTAATAATAATATTTAAAATTTTATTTTGTTTTTTATTGATGCCATTAATTTTATTAGCTCTTTGTGTATATTTGAATATAGTTGAGTAAATATTAAGTATAGCTGGCAATATTTTCATTTTAATTAATATTATTTTTAAATTGATTGCATATATTACGAATGAAATTATAGATTAATAAAAAAACATTTATAACATTTTATTGGATTTTTAATGGATGGCATTATTATAATTAATTGTAAATAATCTAATCAAAATTAGATTAAAGAATGAAAGGAAATAAGGATACCATAACAGCATAATAGGTTTTATACAGGCTTTGCAAAATATATTCGAAAACTTTAATAGATTTATTAAGTATGAATTACTGTATAGATGAAATAAATTTAAAAATAAAATAGAAATCAATTCGCATTGGGCAACATACTTTAAAAGAAATTTTTTATTAAGAAATTTTTAAATATACAAACAGTTGAGATCATTGATTTTCTAGAAATTGAGATCATATAAAATTTCTGACAAGAACAAGTGAAATCATTTTGCTTTTGAGAAATATGTACATTATTCTAAAAGTATGCAATCAAACTCAACTTCTTATATAAATATCAAAAAGTGTATTGTTCTTAAATCTACACAAACTTATGTAATTAATTTTTTCTTCTCATAAAATTGGCATCAATATTAGACCATATATTATTATAAAATATTTAAATTTTTAAATTTGTGATATGATTCACTTATTTTATGTATATATATATAGCATGCCATTAATGTCAAAAGAATGTCTATATAATAATATTTTTCTACAAAGTATATAATTTGTTTGTTTTTGCTTTCTGTTGAGATTACAATGAACTTGCTTAACTTTTTTTTTCTTTTTTTAATTTAATTAATAATTTAATGAGATTTTTTATATTAAATATTAAGTGAATTCTTAAATAATATTTACAATTACATATGTTATTATAATTATGTATGTATATATTTTTTACTTATAGACTAATTAAAGTTTCTTCTCTATTTTAATTAAATTAAATTTTTAGATTTTTTTTTATATATATATAGATAATTTAATTACATTTATGTATATAATATTTTTTAGATTGTTTTCAATAATTTTAGGTTTGCTTTCTTTCTTAATAATATTTTTAATTTAATTTTAATTTTTTTTTGTTTTTTACTAAATTTGCTAAGGGTTTGATGTTATATCATTATTTTTTGTTGATTTACTTATTAAATAATTGTGCTCCTCATTTGAAAAATTATTTAATTTATTTGAACATCCATCACTTGGATCATTTGTCTTATGTAATAATGGTGTTTTTGCATCTTCTATTTCAATATCTTGATCTGTATTCGCTTTTATTTCATTATTTAAATTTTCTCTTCCATTATGTAAATTATGTTTCTCTTTGGAAGGACTCTCTAAATTATTATGACAAACTAAAAAAAAAAAAAATGTGTAAATGTAAAATTAAAAAATTTTAAAAATTTAATTTTATATTTTTGTTTCTTAAATAATATTATTTTTTCACCTTTTGGTTCTTCATTCATTAAATTTTGTACATCCGGATCGGCGGGTGGATTAACTGTTTTCAATGATTGGGGTGAAATTGATGTGTTTCCTTCAACTGATTTGCCCTAAAAATAAAAAAAAATTAAATTTTTAATTCAATTTGCTATTGGTATTAAATTTTAATTTAGTTACCATTAAATAATAAGTCATTAATTGTCCTTTTCCTTTAACAGCTACAAGACCTCGCTGTATAAATTTATAATCAAATTCTCGCAATATTAACATTGTTTCTTCAGTAACCTGCATGTAAAATTAAATATTATAGTATATTGTTAAATTAAATAGATATTGATTTTAACAAAAATTTCGTTAAATAATTTCAAAGTCGCGATTTTACAATTTTTTTTAAATAATTACTTGAATATAACCAGCTTTTCCAGTACTTTCCATTCTTGAAGCAACATTAACTGTATTACCCCATATATCATAATGTGGTTTTCTAGCTCCTATAACACCAGCTATTATTGGACCATGATTAATTCCCATTTTTAAAACAAAGTGATTAAATGATTGTTCATTAATCCCTTGTAAAGCTTTCTTTAATTCTAATGCAAATTCTACTAAATGTGATAAATGTGCCCATCTTACAGTAATCGAATCATTTGGTGCAATTTCACGTGCTGGATTTAATCCACTTGCAGCCATATAAGTGGAACCAATTGTTTTTATTTTAATAACATCTTGAAATTTAGGTAATTCTAATAGCTAAAAAAAAATTAAATAAATAAATATATAAAATTTTAGTTTTTTTTTTTTCCGAAATTTTATATATACCGCATCAAAATCTGAGATCACTTCATTCAAAAATCTAAGGCATTCAAGACCTTGATTGTTAACTGTTTCTTCTGAATAAAAATCAGTAAAATTAGGCATACTAGCAAATAATACACCAACTTCAGCATAACTTTGTGAATAAAGATAATCATGTGATCTTTTACGATTTTTCATAAAATGTTCAGCCACATGAACAGGAAGAATGTTATAAACTAAAGCTTCGTTGCGTCTACGCATATCACTAACCTTTTCATTTTGTCCAGCAACTTCATTTTTCCATTTAAATATAACACGATCTTCTTTATCCATCTACATATATATATAAATTAAAAAAATTAATAATGAAATTAAAAAAATTGTATAAATATAGAAAAATGCTAGTAAATTTCTTTTAAAATCAATAAATTTTCCATTTCTTAATTGATGTATGCTCAACAATCACTTTTTATATCATATTCTTGCATCTCATAATTCATTTTACTTGTCTCGAGTACTGTCATTTTTCTCATACTACGATAATTCAAATGAATTGTGTATATTTATGTAGATATTTTTGTATGTAAATGAATGTACGTCAGTTTATGAACGCAAGGACATGATAAAATAATGAAAAAATTTTCCTATTGCAAACATTCCTATGGTGAAGGTTAAAATTCTAAAATTGTTTGATGTAAAAGGAAACATGAAATTTTTTGTAATGAATATTACGTGAAGCATGGAATTTACCGTGACTTCAATAATGCGCTTAAGACGTAAAATTTTACAAAGTATCAAATTCCAAAAAGTTTACTAAAAGCTCTTGACATTGTACACTTTTCCAAAATGCGTTTTATACGTAATGGAGACGTAAAATAAAAGTAAATCGGGTATCGAAAAAATCGAGCACGCTTTTCTTATACCTTGTTATATAAATGTTACCAGAAATAACCGATAAAATAAACTAGCATATATTTTCAGCAATAAAGTGGTAGCTATCAAGTTTTTTCCAAAATAAAGCATAAGAATGCTATTTTTCCAGTGGTGTGGTAACGTTTGTTAGTTATATAAAATTTAGTGTCATTTGTCATATTTCAAATTCATAAACAAAAAAGTTTTTTGAAAACATTCACGTACATGTTAATTTTTAAAATTTGAAAAAAAATGGAAAAAGAGCAGATTTAATATTGATTTAACATTTAATTTTAGCAACTACTTGAACTGTTGCTACTATTAAAATCAATTGAATTATTTACAACAATATTTGCGAACACATTCATTTTTTTAAAATTAACATTTGCACAGAACTTTAAATTGAAATTTTTAAACAAATGTCAAAGTTGTATTGATATGGTAGAAATTGTATTCCAAAATGTATCAAAAGCTTTAGTAGTTTTTTTTACAATGTAAAGGTATTGAAAGCTCTGAGACGGTACTAATACCGTATTAATACCGTACTTAAATCTTTTTTAAAGCATTATTGAAGTCACGGTTACCTTACAATTACCATTATTATTACCATAAATTTTTATTACGATAGTGTTGGAAAAATATAAATATGTATAATATGCACTTTTAATTGAATTATTCTCGACACTTTACAAATAGAAATTAATAAAATTAGAGATTTTAAGTACAAAGGATATTTAATGTACATTGACAATCATTATCAGTTGCTGTTATTTTTAACAATTACTTAATTTATGATTGAATTTTGTATAATGCCGTGTAAGTTGTTTACATTTCGAATTGGCTATAGTAAACTCATTTCGTTGAAACGTTAGTATACTAATATTCAAGTGCTGCACTGTATATGAAGTGTGTACAATAGATATTTGAAATTGCTTAACCATTATGTGATTAAAAGCTTTTAAGTTAATTGTTCATTACTTTTATTCTTTTTGTTCACTGTAAATAATAAAATATAATTTCCGGTAACGTGCGATATTCAAATACAATATTTTATATACACGAATGTATATGCATGTACACTAAATTATCAATCAATATCGGAAAGAATTTTTTTTTACCTAAATTTTCATAATTTTTTTTTTATGTAGAACTAGAATGATTTCGATGATTAATTGACACTTTCAATATTGTTAGTTAATTTCTAAATTTACGGTTTTGTTTTCCTCTTGAAATTCTTATGTACAATCAAAATTACTCGTACTTTGTTTGTTTTTAAGTTTTATTTTTTAAAATTCATAATGACTTAAATAATGACAGAAAAATAATAGATCTGTCAACAGTAATAAATTACAACATTAATAAAATTTATAATCACATATTAAATATCAACATGGGGGAGCAATCATGTTGAAATCATGTTGAAAATAAAAATGTCAATAAAAATCAACATTAACACTAATGTTCTTAAATTTAGTTTATGAAATTACCGCAATATTAACAAATAAATTTATATTTAAATACCACCTAGTGGTTAAATAATTAATTATGAAATATCATTAAATATTAAAATTATTAATAGTGCCTACAGACAGAGGGCGTGGGGGAGGATGTCAATGAAAAGTATTAATTAATTTTTGTATTTTAAACTAATTAATAAAAATATTTACTTACATGTCTCGCTAAAAATGATAATATTAAAGCAGCTAAAAGTAATGTTAATGACACAGAGTATTTCACAGAAATATTCCTAAAAAAAAAAATTTTAAAAATTAACTAAGAAATTTTGAAATTTTTTTTTTATACTTACGGAAATGATGCATAAAAATCTTCAAATTCATATGAATAATTTAACAAAAATATATTGAAGATGCAATGTAATACTAAAAAAAAAATGAGAGTAAAAATATTTTGTATTTAAAATTTAAAAAATTTTCATAACTTACTTGAAATTGAAATCATTAATAAAGCTTTACATATATGCGTTAACTGAGCGATCACAGCTATTGCAATTAATATTAATATACAAAAATTACTCATATATGATGGAAAATTTAAATTATCTTCTGTAAAATCGGTGTCAAAATTATTTATTTGTTTTTTAGTAAAATTAGGTACAGTTTCTTTGATTATTTCTGAAATATTTTCAAAGCTGTTATTTACTGACATTGCTTTTGTTGTAAAATTTAAAGAATCAGTCTTATAGTTATACAATGAAGCATAAAACCACTAAAATAAAAAATTAAATAATTAATATAATTTGACATTTTATTGCATTTGATAATTACCATATCAATTAAATTAGATAAACCCATTGTCAAAATTATTAGTACAGCAGTAGTTTTTCTAAGCAGTACAATATCATTAATTTTTTTACTTATTTTGTAAAAAAATTCAGGAAAAACCTAAAATACAAAAAAATAAAGGTTTGTAATAACTAAAATATTTGGGTAATTTGACAGATCCTATACATGCCAAGAGTATTAAAAACAAAAGTCATCATCATAATCTAATAAAATTCCAAATACCTTTTGAAAACTTTCTGCCATTAAAAATAATACTAAAGCGGCAATAACTGTAAGTGGTACTAAAACTATTAGAAAATGTTGCCATAACCTAAAAAATCGTTTTTATTTTTTTAAATCAATTTTTACCAAATGTCAATAATAACAATAAAAAAATAATACCTTGGCAAAGCTAAAGAAGAATATAAAACATCAGTTATTTGCACAATTGGAGCGGCCATTAGGAGATATGGTGAACATGATTCTCTTTGTGTTACATATAATTTTTCTAGTTCTTTATCTTTAAAAGTCAAAAATATCGTTGTATCTTTTGACAAATCCCTATATATAATGATAATGTTATCATTTTTACTGATTGTCTTATATAGTTAGAATAAATTGTTACCTAATGTCATCTTTTTTAAATAATTCGTTGCGCAAACGTTGTTTAAATACTTCTTCTTTGTTTTTGGTGTCTTCTGAGTTCGCCTGAAATTTTTTAATAATAAATAATTAAGATTTTATATTTAAAACAGATAATATGCCAAAAATTTATTAAAAAAAAAAATAAAATAAAACTTCCAATAAAGCCTTACTTTTGAGTCTTCATCTGGAACTATTTCTGTGGCATCCGGTTCAGTTGTACCATCATTATCATCATCGCTTATATCACCAGATGTACCTGATGGTGTTATTCCATTTATTTTATGTTCAGATGAAACAAACTAAAATTAAAGAATTATAATGTAAGTTAAACTATGACAATTACACTCTGAATAATGGCTGAATTATTTCAAAATATTCTCATTTAGAAACTAATTTCATTTTATTAAACTTACCGGTTTTAAAACACTTGTTATAAAATATGTTTTTAAACCAGCAATTCTAAGTGCTTCTTCTCTTTTTTCACCAAAAGCTGGTTCAATACCAAATTCACCATTTAAAAATGCCAATGTTTTCTCCGATATATGAACACGTCTTCAAATCCAATAATTTGAATTGAAATGTTAAAATGAATTTAGAAAAAAAAAATAATATTAAATTTAATTTTACCCAGCTTTCCCACTTGATTCCATTTTATTTGCTAACTCAACATCTTTTGAGTAGACATCAAATTGCCATTGACGTTGTCCTAATATTCCAGCTAAAATAGCACCAGTATGTATTCCAACTCTCATATCAACTGGACTATTAGTTTTTTGCTGCACGTATCTGAAATTATATTAAACAATAATGATGGTTTAATAATAATAATATGTTTTCCCAATATTACATTTAATATTGGATCGTTAATACTTACTTTATTGCTTTTACCATTGATAGTCCCATATGTACACATAATACAGCATGGTCAGGCCGTTCTATAGGCGCTCCACTTATACAATAATAACAGTCTCCCAAAATTTTTATTCTTAATTGTTGATATTTCTAAAATAAAAAATTCAAAATTAATCTTATAATTTTAATAAAGCTGGTTATGCTTAATTTCCGGAGCCGTAAGCATTTGTCATTGTTTTATTTTTTCTTAATTGTGAATAGACAATCTTCAGTCAAAATAATGTTTTACTTACCTCAGCTAACTTATCAAATCGTGCAAATAATTCATTTAACATTTTTACTAAATCTTGTGCGCTATATGTGGACGAAATGGCTGTAAAACCAACAATATCTGCATATAAAATGCTATAAAAATTTAAAATAATTAATTTTTGAATTTTGATTTAATATAAAAAACAATCTTTAAGTTATTTTTGACATTAATTTTACCTAACATTTTCATGCCGACTCATATATATTTTTTTAAATTGTTCAGAATTTTTTGATCCGAGATCCTGTCGCATTTTAACAGCAACATGTTCTGGCAATACTGATAATAATAATTTTTCCTTAAAAAAATTAATTAACAATTTTATAATTTGTTTTCGGGTATTATGAATTTGTTTACTTGTTCTTCTGATTGTTCTTCAATTATCATTTTAACTTCTAAACTTTTTTTGGCTTCTAAAAATGCTCTTTTCTGTTTTCTTTCACCAACTAGAAATGCTAATAATCCAATACTGGTCGATGATAAAATTACAATTAAAGTGGCTGTAAACTAAAATTTCATATAAGATTTTATTATTTTTTTTTTTTAATGAAATTGCTATTCAATTAAAATACTTACTTGCTCTCCAAAATAGGAATCATGTATTGCATAAATAAACATTAAAATTAAATAAACTATTTTGAAACCCAAGCCATAGAAACCTCCAATAAATATTAATTGTAAAGGAAATGTTACATAAATTAGAAATACAATTAAAATGGTCCATCCTAATAGTTCTCTAAAAATGCAAAAAAAAAAAAAATTTTATTAAATTAAATTTATAAAAAAAAATTTAGGTTTTTTTTAATTTACCTGATTGTTAAAATTGGTTTTAATATAGAAAAGAAAACTACTTGTGCTATAACTAAGAACCAAATAGGAAATGTTAAAGGTTTCCATATTTTCTTATTTAATTTCGAGCCTCGAAAATATATCAGAATTAATAATATTAGGCTACAAACAGCATTACCAGCAAAAATACCTAAAATTTTATTAATTAAAAAATATTTTAATTTATTTCTTTATTTTATTTTTAAAATCGTGCCCCCCAACTATAAATTCTCTCATAGATTTCCTACAAATTGCAAACTTCAGAATTAATTTTCATATTATTTCGAATAAATTCGGCGAAATCTATATTGCTACGAGAGAATTTATGATAAGGGTGAATTATAATTATGGAAAAATTAAAAATTTTAATGAATTTTTATATTCACCTAAAGTTTTCCAACAAAATCCATGTGGTGTAATTATACACCAAATGTCAAATAATATTATTGCACTCAAAAAAACTACCATGGCAGGTTGTCTTTGTTTAATTGAATATGAAATGTACAAATCATTTAGAACTTCTTTTGATAAATTAACATCAGGTCCAGTATTAGAAATTGGGCCGCCATTTTCTTGTTTATTATTACTGTTAGCAATTTTATTATTTTGTTTATTTTGTTCAGTTGGTTCTTCTTTTGACTTATTTATTTCATCTTCGAATGTGACAGTTGCTTTAGTAGATGCCATTTTAATATTTTTTTTGTTCCTTATTTATTTTGTTATAATTTAATTTTATTTTTTAAATGATTCTAATTGAATAATGATGGAACTAATTAATTTTAATTATAATAGCAATTTATCGAATTGATCAACTTTTTTTTATTTTACTTATGATTTTAATTTCATTATTTGAATATTTTTCATTTTGATCAAACATAATTAAAATTATTTTTCTTTTGTTATTAAAAAATTTCTTTTTAAAACTTTCACACTTTCACTCTCTGCAGAATTTGATCTATATAAAATAATTTTTAAAAAATAATATTAAATTATTTAAAAATTAATTTAACTTTTATTTTTAAATTTATAAAATAAAAAATTAATTTAAAATTATTACTGTACAATGGCAGCTTTTAAATACTTGTGTTGGCAAGAAGTAAAATAGGAAGAGGATTAACTCAAAACGGGAATTAATTTTATAGAGTAGGTATACATTTGGAGCTTGTTTTCGGTAAATGATTTAAACATGCAGAAGCATTCAAGGAAATTATGGATTTAAAAGTAGATGCTAAACACGATTTAATAAATAAATTAAGTGGGTTATACTCAAAATCTAAGAATACGGATAGGTTTTCTTAGATCTTATTATTTATTATAATATTTTTACTTTCTATAATATTATTTTTAATATGTTAATTTCGAAGCCATTTGTCTTAGAAACATGACATAAAAATTAAATTTATATTTATTATTTCTATGTTCCTTCGAAAATTCATCCTTCATATAAACCGGTTTCTATTATTTTATAATTATTTAGTTAAATTTCGCTTTAAAATTTAAAAATAATTTTAGTTTTAATGTGGTAACTTGCTTTCTTCTGTATTGTCTGCTTTTAAATCCAATTTTTATTAATATTTTCCAGTTAAATGCTTTCATTTAGTTTTATTTAAACTAATTTTAACTAATTTTTTATAAGTATTTTTATACAATTCCACAAAATTTTGAGAATACATGAGAAGTTCTTCTCTACACGCGTTCTCAATTACAATTGTAGTCTTTCTATACATAGGTATCTAGAAATGTGTGATTTAAAAGAGAAAACTCTTTTATTAAATTTTAAAGAAATTAAGTAAAAAATTAACGTAATAATATATAAAGAATGAAGTCACCTACATGATTGTAAGCAATAAATCTCAAAATTTATATAAATAACTTTAATATATGTGGAGTGAGTTGCTGGAATACATCACATGATAATTATACATAAAAGTATATTATAAATGTATATTGAAAATAAACAGAGGAATAAGAACACAATAAAATCCCGATATATCCGATATATACATTATATATATATATATAATTATTATATATATATAATAATTATGATATATATATATTAATGACATATATATATAAATAATGATATAATTTATATATATATATAGATATATATATATATATAAATACATATATATAATGATATATATCATATATATCATTACATATAATGAATTTCTGTTCGAAAGTGTTTTAAAGTGCGAAAAAAAATAGTTTTTTTTTTGCATAAATATCTTTAAAACTGTTATATAGTGAAATGATCTTGAAATTCTATATATTCTTTTAAAACCTTTGAAAAATAAACATTTTTCAAAAATCTTTAAATTTTGTTTACTTTTTTCGTGCAAATATTATTTTTATAATCTTGTCATATAGGATTGTCATTTGTATTATATATATATACATATATACAAGGATATTATTTCAAATATAACATTAAAGCTATTTTTGTTTACTCATTTAAGAATTTTTTATACTTTTTCCTCATCTCTTACATTAGTGTACATGTATATATGTATATATAAATATATATATATATATATATATATATATATATATATATATTTTTTTAGTTTTGTACACAACACTTTAAAAACTCCCCTGGGAATTTTTCTTTATATTTCCCTTATCCGTTATTTAATTTCACTATATATATATATATATGTATATTTGATAGGATTTATATATTTGGATTTGTATAGTCTTTAAAGTAATGTACACTAAATTGTTTTTGTTGTATTCTTTATAAATTGATAAAAAATTGAATTTTATCACTAAATAAAATCTATTAAGAATTTTACAACTTAATTAAATTCAGGTGAACAAATTAATATACAATTTAATACAATATATATATATATATATATATATATATATATATAAATATATATATATAAATGTAAATATAAATTATTGGTTATTAATGATTAAAATTAAGTTGAATTTTAAAATGAATATTTTCTTTTATAATTTTACACTTTATATACACACATTATTAATTATTAAGAGCATAATGTTCAGAATAATTTTTAACAAGAAAATATTTTAGAAAATAATTATTTTATTCATTATAATTTTGAATGAAATTTTAATATTTTAATTTTATTATATTTATAAAATATTTATCTAAAATTTTATCAATTTTATTGCGAGAAAATTTTATAAATGAAATTTTCACAAAATATTCTCAACTCTATTCAAAAATATTAAATTTTAATAATTATTGCTATTTTATTATTACTCTTATAATTATTACTTAAATATTATTTTTTTTTTAAATAATTAATAAATAAATTATTATAAAATTTTCCCAAAAAATAAAAATTAAATTTTTTCAATTAAATTTTCAATTTTTTTTTTTTTGCATAAAGCAACACCAACTTTAAAATTTACATAAAATTTTTCGAATACACAATATACATACAATTTGCAAAATAAGGAGCAAAAAAATGAGAATAAAAATAACTCTCTTTCCTTGCTATTTCCCAAAAAAAAAAATTTTTTTTTCCAAACTTTATTTTTGTTTTTTTTTTTCATAAAATGTTATAAAAATGTTACAGCAAAAAATAATAACTAACTGACATATTCCGATAAATAAATCACTAAAATATATGAAAAACACTAGAAATACTCAAAGAGAGAAATTGAAATGAATAAAATCAGATTCGCCTAAACATATGCAATATTATTAATGAACTTTTTGTAATAAAATTTTACTCATTCTTTTACATCAATTTTCTTATTTTTTTTTTTGTTTAAATTAAAATTTTAATATTTAAATAGAATAAAATATAATGATTATATATACAAATATATTATGTATTTATGTATATATGTTAAACAAAATTTAATCACCGAAACAAATCAAGAAATCTCCATTAAATTGGAAACACTAATATTTGTATACTGATTTTTAGTTTTCACATTTTTTCACATTTTTTTTTCCTAATTTTTTTTTTTCTTTTATATTTTCATTTTATCCTTATTTTTCTTTTTTGATTTCTTTATGTTTTTAATGTTTTGCTTGTTTTGTTATTATTCTTGGTGTGCTTTCATATAGTTAGTTAGTTTTTTTCGGGTAGGTAATTTAGGTAGGGTTAATAAAAAAAGAGAAGAAAAGCAAAAATGAAATTTTTTTTAATTTTTGTTTTTTTTTTTACATAAAATAACATTTTAAGATTTGTATTATGTACACATTCCCTTATATATTTAATTGGATATATATGAATATTATGTATGTATATATGTGCATAATGAGTGTATATAAATCACAAATATTATTTTATAATAAAAGTTTTCTTTAGAAAGTTTATTTATTTTAGAAAGTAATTTTTATTATTTTAATTAAAAACCTGTTAAAATGTTTTTGATTATTTCATTGTTGTTTTTTAATTTTGAGATTTATTTTTAAAAATTTTATGTAAATAGCATGTATGTATATAATACAATAAAGAGTAAAAGTATAACAAAACTGTTAAATTTATTGTATTGAGAGAGAGAAATTTTTGCCGTTGTTTTGATGACAACAATTCTCGTATATTTTGAATAATTTACAAGTAAAATAAAATAATAATAATGAAATTAATGGAAATTAAATCTTAATATAAAAATTAGATTTATAAAAAAAATTTTTGAATTAAAATCCTAAAATAATGATAACTTAAATTTGAAAATAAATTAAGATTATATTTATATAGGAGATAGATAATGTAGAGCTCTCAATTGTTATATAAAAAATTCATAAAAATTTTTACTATTTAACAAATTATAACAAATTTTAAAAACAGTACGAAATTGTAATTTTAATATGCAATTATATTTATTATATAAAATTTTCATTATGAATTAATTGTATTAGATTTTTTAATATTATTTTAAATTTTCATCAAATTAAAAAATTCAAATGTATTTTTAATGAAAATTTTCAATTAATACTTGTATAACACTTGTATATCACAATTAAAATTTTTAATTAAATCAAAAATTGAGGTTTATAATTAAAGATTAAACTAAATTAAATTTAAAAACTGCATCACTTAATTTTATTTTATGAACAAAATTTACTAAAAATTATTTTATACTCTGATTTGGATTTTTTCTTAAATTTATGAGTATTAATATGCATAGGGCATGTAGATGTGTATATTATATATTTAAAATTATTTAAAATTTTAAAATGAAATTTTTTCTTTCTTAAGAATTCAAAATTTTTCTCACAAAAAAAACCTTTAGCATATTCTAAACTGATTTATATGAGTTAAAATAATATTGTCACAATTCACAATTTTAAATAAATTAATGTTTGACATAATCATATGCTGTGCCATCCAAATCGTTTTCCAGCAAAGTTTTATAACAAAATTTATATACCGCTCTATTCCAAATTTATGTTACCTAAACAATATAGTGTAAAAAAATTTACATTTATGTTTTGGATAACTATTTTATAAAAAAAAAAAAAATATTATTTAAATTTTATGATTAAAATTTTCATAGTATGCCTTGAATTGTTTGTATGCATAATGTTTTGAAAGTTTAAGTAAACTTCAAATTTTTCGATACACAGTTCTCTTTATTTTTACTTTAATTTAGCATTTACTAAACATGTTAGATCAGTTGACACTGTAAAAATTTTTCAATTCACAATTTAGAATTTAAAACTTTGTAAAGTTTGCTTGCAATTTGGATGTCACAGTATTGAAAATATATATATGCATACATATATATATATGTATGTGGTATATACAGTTATACTTTTATAATGTATTATAATACTAACTTATCAAATTGTATAATTTAAAATTTTCACTTTTCTTTTTCTCCCATAACATTAAAATATTAAAAAACTAAAAATAAAAAGCTTCAAATTCACCTAAAAATCAAGAAAAACAAAAACAACAACACAAACAAATGAATTTTTTTTTTCTTATTCAATCATTTGTTTGTTTTCTCTTTTTCACTTTTTGTACATTTTTTATTTTATTTTCTAATTCACAATTTATTTAATATAATTTTATATTATATTTTATTCAAAATAAATAAATCAATTTCAATTTATTTTGTTTTTTGTTTTTAATATGATTAAATATTAAAATTGTTATTGTAGATTTATTAAACATTTAAGTAAACAAAAAAATGACAAAAAAAAAAAAAAATAAATCGTGTATAACAAATAAATAAATAAATAACAAAAGTAATAAAAAGAGAAAGGAAACAAAAAAATAAAAAAATTAGAAACGAAAAAATAAAAATTAAAATTTTATATAAAAATAATAAAAACAATGAAAAAAAAGGACATACAAGCAATATAAAAAAGCTATACAGAGACATAAAATTTAATAAAAAAAAATAAAGAGAGAGAAAATGAGAGAAAAACAGAGAAAATCCGGTGCAAAATCGATTTTTAACTAATTACTTGTTTTTGTGTTTTGTTTTCTTCAGGATAATAATAATGTTAAATATATATACATACATACGATTACATACATATATATAAATATATTATAATATGTGCATATTAAGCTTGTTGTTACTGTTGTTAGTTGTTACCCGTAAAAAATTCTTTCTTACTCCATCTATATTTCGCTTATACTATTACCCTATTACTATATTATTATGCCTCTATCGAAAATTTTTCTCTCTCTCTCTCTCTCTCTCTCAATTTTTTATATTCTAAACATATTGTGTGTATGTATATTTTTTTTTTCTTTATTACTTTATGAAAATATTTTTTCAAACATCTTATAAATTAAACTTTTCTCTTCATTTTTTTTTTTCAATTAACTTTAAAAACTATTTGAACAATTAATAAAAAAATAATAATGAAAATTAACACTTTAATTTTGTTCTTAAATAAAAAAAAAAAAAAAAAGGAAAATTTTCAATTTTTACCACACCACAATTATTTTCCACCACACAACAAATATTTTATTATATGTACATTTGTATATATGTAGGTGTTGTATAAGATTTTTATTTATTATGAGAATTAAAATCACAAAAAAAAAAATTTTTTTTTTTTTTCTATTTTAAAATAATTTTCACGTTTATTAAAGCGTTTCTTATTTTTTTTCTTAATTTTTTTCCCTTCTATTCATTTATCTTTTCAGTTAGCTTATCTATCAAGGACTAAAAATGTTAAAAAAATTCCGTGTGCCTATACAATAAAAATGTTTAATCATTATAGTTAGAGAGTCAGCAGCAGCACCAACAGCAGCAACAGCAACAACAACAGAAGTAACAGTAACAACTATACACGTTATAATGTGTTATACAAGAAAAGGAACAAGAAAAAGGATAGAAACCAAAAAAAAATCAAAATGAGAGAAAAATTTTATTTATTTTCATATTTCAAGAGAAAATCGTGGACATATACACCTACATATACATATAAAATATAAAGAGAAAATTGTATAGGAAAATTGTCATATAGAATATATATATATATATATATATATATATAAGAACAATATTTTATATAAAATTAAAGAGAAATTGAAAATAAAACTTTGAAAAATGAAAAAAATTAAAAAAAGTTTTACTCCGTTTTTCTTATTATTCTTCATTTCCGTTTTCTTTTTTTTGTTTTTTCATATTTAAAATAGAAAGGATATTTTTTTTTCTTTGGCTCGTTTTCTCAATATATAAATTGTATACAGAATATATTATATAGCTTTTATTCATACATACATACATAAACACATTTATGAACAATTTATTGTTTATATTAAAAAAGCTTAAATACCGTTATTTTATATTGTATATTTTTTTTTGTTTTTGTGTTTTTTTTTTGTTCATTCGGATATTGTAATATAATATTTTTAATTAATATTCAATTACTACTTTTAAATACATTTCTATACACTACGTTATATGAGTACAAATGTGTTATACATGTGTGTATGCAATGATATTAGACAGGATTCTATTATCAAAATTTATGATATATGAAGATGTGTATAACAAGTATATAGTATAAAAATAGAACAGAATGTTTTAAATATAAATTGAATAGATTATTTTTAGAATCAAAGGCATGTGAAATTTTGTACTAGATATATTATTAATTAATGAATATAATTTTAATGAAATTTAATTGTGTATACGTGTTGGAATTGTGTAAATTATAACACAAATAATAAAATAATATGGTGTCATTGAGCTATGTTGAGTATTTTCAATTTTAAATGAAACGCAATGTGAGCCTTCGGATGAGAATAAAATATTCAACAATTTGTATATAGTTGATCATTCCCTATTATATACAAATCATACAAGGCTATTATTGAATTAAATTCATTAATTATATATAAGTAAAATAAAATTTACAAACACATTCATATTTCAAAAAATTCAATATTCTTAATTCAATATTCATCTTAATACAATATAAATTCTGTTATACGTACGCAATACCCTGTAGCTAAATTTTATAGAATCAATTATTCCATTATTAATAAATGAAGAAAAAAAACAAAAAAACAAGTATAAATATATATATATACTCGTATATATAGACAGTAATATCCGGAAAATTTTAATAGTATATATAGTAACCAGGTGTTCAAAATATATTTTTAATATTCATAATTGTTATAACACATATACATATACAAATATATAAATAAAAAATTTAAAAATAAATTGGTTTTTTACTTGAAAATACTTATATGTCTATATTTATATATATATATTGAGAGTATATACATACATATAATGATTATATGAAAGGCTGTTGAACACATCCCGTCTATATAAACTTGATGAAGATGAATGAGGTGTTAAAATATGTATAGATATAAATTAATGTATATTTTAAAAATGTTAAAGAAATTGTTAAATATTTTGTTATAAAATAAATTGATGCCAGTACAATAATTTTTGCATATACTAAGGCGCCTATTGCGTATATTTCAATCTTTTACTCACTATATATGAGGGCGAATAAAGTAAAAGAGTTAAATTTTCAAGTGAGAAGAATTCCGTTCGTGTTATGTTTCTTGTATTTTATTTTTCTAAAATACGTATATATGGTCTCATCGCCTTGGCCTTTTCATTTTGGCAAGTTGTTCGAGTTAATTAAATTTGTTCTGCATATCGCTTACTTTGTATGTCGTATGCATAATCTAAGTTCTCTAGTTGTCGAGTAAAACTCCAAATTATGGCTCTTCTTCGCGGGCAGATGAGTTATAATATGCTCTAGTCAACATAAAATTAAAATTTTGTCAGTATGTATCTGAAAGTAACGAATTTCGATGATAGTTTTAAAATTTTTGCATGATGTTTTGAAAACCCCATAGATAGGCTTTTTTTTATACTTTTCGCATTTCAGCAATTTTAGTTAAAATTGCAAAACCTTGTTTATTAAATGACACATTAATATAAAATTCCTAAATTTAAAAATCTTTAATTTTCCATTTTGTAATTCAATTGCACAGGTATTATTTACATATTTGCATATACACATTATGTGTGGCTCTCTTCAAAATAAAAAATAGTTTTTCACCTTGCAAATCATCATACTGAAAATGCATGTAATTAACAGTACATACCTTATCGATAGGGTAATTTAATTTACTATATGCTACGTTGATGTCAATTAAATTTTTGATATTAAATGCAATGCGAATTTTATCACTTATAGAAATAAGACTACATTGTATACGGGTAGTACATAAAATATCAGAGAATTTTCTATCAATTACCTACATATATTATTTAGGTTCAATACATTTCTTTTGGAATTCTTCGTATATAAGCAAAAGAAAACGAATTTATTGAAATATTTTGTACTTATTTAATTAACTTTAGTATAGTAAATCGTAATTGGGTTAATAGTAGACAATATTAATTAATATAATTTTAGCAATTTATTGAATTTATTAAATAAACACTTAAAATTTGGTTAACATCAAAAAAACATTGAAATTTGTATTTAAAGCTTCTTCCTATATAAATTTATAAGCATATATCAAAGAGATATATAGAATATAATTATATACATGGATATATAACATTAAATAAAAATATATATGAATTTATAAAATATATAAAATAACATAAAAACAATTAAGAATAAAACGTGTTCGGTTTCAAAAAATTTTAATTATTTTTTGATTACAATGTAAATGATTCATGTTACTTTATAGAACATTATTTTAGTTTCTTGACTACTTATATGCACAGGAAATAGACTGTAACTATCAGCGTGATAGCAATTTGTATTTAAATGTAAATATATTTTTAATGTTAGTTTATTAAATGACATTAATGCATATGATTTTTAATAATTATTATCAGATAACATATGAGACGAATGAGAATTGAAATAAGATACTTGCGTTAAATTTAAATATTTAGTATTATCATAATTATTTATAATATATATTCTGAGAAGATGTAATTGAAATCTACAATATGCGCTCATCGATAAACCTTAAATAATTCATTCATATAAAATGCAATAATGAGTGCAAAGTTATTTAATATAATTTTATTATAATATGTGCATGAGCCATTGCTCATTGATTCATGTTTAAAACTTTAATTAATTATGACAGATTGACAGATAGAATGTCAATATGATTTAATAATTATATTTACTAAAATTGCCTTTCTTAATTTATACATTACTTATGTCAAAGTGGTGTTAGATTTGTTTTTAAATGGATTTGGTATAACATTGTGATTAAACTGGTAATTCATTTACAAAATATTTCACGATATTTTAAATAATTTTACTTTAATTAAAAAAACTATTTATTTAAATCTTATTTATAACATTTTAATTAAAAGCACGACCACATTATATCAGTAATTTCTCCCTTAAATTTATAAGATTTTATAACTATGATTTTCATTTGCATATACTCTCATAAAATATTACACAATTGATTTATATTATTATAATGTAAATATCACCATTAATATATATTATATATGTATATATATAATATATGTAATATATATAAATAGTTATATATATTAAATATTATACACGATTCATTCAACTTTTGTCTAGTTTTCTGAATTATTAATTACATACGAATTAATATTTACTACAGCTAGGTATTTAAAATTAATTAATTTATTTATTATTTACATTTCATATTTACATTATTTTCGTTGAGTATTATAAATTTTTAAATATATATGAATAAAAAGCGCAAAAATATTTTTTCACTCACAAAATGTGCAGTACTCGTGTCGTAAGCTTATACTACCTTACTACATATTACATGAGTATGTTTGAGAAAAAAATAATTCAAATGTTAAAATTGAAATTAACAATTTTCATGTGCTGTTGAATAACAACAATTAATGAAAAAAAAACACACAACGCATCAAAGTGCTTAAATTATTATTTAATTGAGTTTGGATCGTTTGAAAATCAGTTGAAAATTCTATTATGACGTAATGAGAGACGGATAAATACAATTTTTTAATGTTTATATTTTTTTTTTGTAATATTTTTTAATTATTTAATAATTTTTTATACTAGTATATGATACATTTTAAAAGCTTGAATTTTTATGATTTTTTTTCTAACTTAAATTAACTTTTTTTCTGTGTTAGTTAGAAAAATTTTTTTAAATTGGTTTATTTATTTCGATTATTTAGTATACACACTGTAGCAAATGGCACGTGTAATTTAAAAGTATGTAGGCATATTGTTGAAAGTAATTACATTTCTTTTAAATGAAAAAGCATTAATGATTAATTAAGAGCGTTTTAGAATTAATCTTATATTTAAAAGAGCATTAAGTGGGAAAATTATGTGAAACCTTCGGCATCGGGAAATTGAAAGTGGTTTAGTATATGTCATTATATCATAGTAATCTCGTAATGAAATTCACAAAAATCATCAAAATTCGCATTTAAGATCTTTGCACCTTCCGAAAAGTAATGGTTAACATCATAGTCAAATATTGTATATGTGGTAATAAATTATATTGAATGCATCATACATGACTTACATAATTTCCCGGAAAATCTGTTTGATTTACAGTTTTCATGGTTCTAAGTCGAATTTTAACGAAATATTATTACTTTTTTATTCCTTTTATACCACTTTTCATATTTTTATGGACACGAACCTTTGAAAATAATTAAACGAAAAAATTTTCCTTGTTTCATTGTGAAAAGAATAAACATTGTGATTGAATTCACAATGGTTATATATTTTACGCCATCTACGTATATTCTCTTACTTTTAATTAAAATTAAACAAATTCACAGTTATCTTAAAAAAAATTTTCTCTAAAAATAAAAAAAAAATTTACATAATTAATTTCCTTCTGCTGTGGTTAAAATTCAAATCACCCCAAAATAAATATTTTACATTCAATTTAAAAATAAAATCGAAGAAATTGTTAAAGTTTTATTACACGATATATTATTTTTGTTCCTATTTATCAGAGTCATAAACCATTTAAAAATTTTTTCGAAGAAACTAAAACACCGCCTCAATGACATTATATTTAAAAAACATCACGAAATGTCATTATGAGTTATATATATTATATGTCAAAACTTAGCATTTTAAAACTCACATTTATTTTTTTTATTCAATATTCATTTTGTAAGTAATAGATTGAAAAAAAGTATTATATTTGAATGAAACTTTATAAAATATTTTAGAAATGAAATTAGAAGAAATGGATGAAGATATATCAGATCTAGGAGATGAAGATAAGGACGAAAGTATAGACGAAGAAGATAGTATGGTTGAAGAAGATAGTGCGGTTGAAGAAAATAGTGTGGTTGAAGAAGATAGTGTGGTTGAAGAAGATGGTGTGGTTGAAGAGGACAATGTTGTTGAAGAAGATAGTCCTGAAGATAACCATTTTCAAAAAAGTTTATCTGTACGAAATCAAATAAATCAGTGGGAGAAAGCTGTCGAAATTTGTATACATTTCCAAAAATGTATTCAAATAGCCAATATTTTACCAACAGAAGAATCTTTCAAAACATTTTCAAAAAATGAAGAATTTTCGAGTACAATAACTGAAACTACAAAAGATTTACAATCCTTATTTAAAAATTTAACTCAATTGCAAAATTTTAATTTTTCGAAAAGTTCTGAAGCAAAGAAAATTAAAAAAACTAGTATTTCAAGTAAATCTGGGAAAGAAATTGGAAAGAGTTTAGAAAAAAATTTTCAAAATTATAAAGAATATCGTAATGAAACATTACAAAAATGGTATAGCAGAGCCTATGTGACTGGTGATAAAAATAATTTAAATGTAAATAAAAAAATTGAAGATTTAATGTTAAATAAGGATACCATTTTAACTCGGTCACAAACATTAAATCCTCATTATGTACAAAAAATTTTTCCTACAGTAGGGAAATCAAAAAATGAAGATGATGATTCTGACAAAAAAATAATTTCCAAAAATATTTATGATGACACAGATTTTTATCTTAGTTTATTACAAGAAGTTATAGATTCCAAATCAAGTTCAGATGATAAAAATCTTAAAGAAAAATTAAGTATGCTTAGTATAGCAAGACAAAAAATGAAGCGTAGCGCAGGAAAAAAAGCATCAAAAGGCCGGAAAATTAGGTAAAACCATTAATTCATATTAAATAGCAAATCGAAAACGATAATCAAATATTTTTATTTTTAGATTTACCGTTCATAATAAATTGGTAAATTTTATGCCGACAAATCCATCAACTACATATGAAGATGACCAAAAAAATATTTTATTTCAATCGTTATTCAGTTCTTAATACATTTTATTAATAGTATTAGAAAATAAAAGATTTGTTTTTAAGAAAAAGAAAAAGATGCTTTATAATAAATAGAATCATTGCAATATTTGTAGATAGGGAGTAATATTAAACAGAAAGAAGAGGTTTTATGACTACTTGTGAAATTTGAGTATAAAATTACTTCAAATCTTAAAACTGAAATTTTAATTAGGGAATAGGCACGTAAATTTTTCTTATATAATAACATTATATATTAAAAAATAAACTTTGTAATTAGATCGTCAACCATTTTATTATTAAGCTATGAAATTTTCTTGCTATTCAATTGTTAGTTCCCTAGAAAAATGGAAATTTTATTTTTCTTTAAATTTCCTGTAACACTCCCTTATATATAACTACACATTTCCACTGAATTATATTCCTATTCGGTAAAGAATCTACAATAGGAATATTAAAAAAAAATTACCCATTTTTGTAAAATAGTAATTATGGTTAAAATTTAAATAATTCTCTTGGCAATATTTGTACTTACATATATTTTTTCTAAAAACTTGGATCTTTCAAACTATTTTCAAGGTATAGTCTTGTTGACCTTTTTAAATTTTCTTTTTTCAAGGATACAAGATTTAATTTTTAATTTTCTTGAAATTAAAATCCATTGTCATGAGTTTTTTCCTGAGCTTCGAAATTCTGGACTATGTAGAACAAAATCCTTAACATTTCTAAAATTATAAAATGGAATAGAAACATAATTTTGTTATACATATGTAAGTACAATTAAAATGTAACCATATTTTTTATATTTCCGTCTTACATCTTTTTTTAAGTAAAATTAATATGTCTATAAACGATATAGTTATGTGTTAATTAAGTTATTTAAAATAGACTTTAAATGCAAATTTTATTTACATATATTTTAATATTTACTATAATAAAAAAAAAACAAAAAACACGTACATTCATACATATTTAACCTATAAATCAATATTTTCCCTTAAAAAATAAAACATGCAATAATTTATAGTAAAAAATTCATGACTTCCATTAGGATAGTTAAATAAGGCGAATCGTATTAAAAAAATTTACACATTTTCATTATTATTTTACAATTTTACACATTTTTTTTTTCATATAAATATATATACATATTTATAAGAAAAAACACGATGTACCCATCTTCTTGGCCTTACAGTAATATAATAGTTCATATATAATAAAATAACCAAGTAGATTTCCATGTATTTTAATTTTTTTTGTGTATAACATTTACACTAACTATTTCGAATGCGAAAAGCGCAACATGTGCATAAAATTGTTATACGTTTATTAAGAGGAGTGGTTCGCTCTTACCAAAAACAGAACAAAAAAAGGGTGCATATATATAGAGTTTCAATTCCCTAAGGGGTGCAAAATAATATTTGGGTGCTTCATTCGCTCTTCTGACATGGTATCTCCTCAATTTTCCCTTAATACTTATTGCATTTTTTCTTTTAGTTGCTGTTTTTTTTTTCCTTTCTGCTGTTATAAATAGTTTTATTGCTTTATAATATGTTTATAGAATGGTTAAAATAATTTGAACATATTTACCGGATTTCAATTAGACACAAAAGTAGAGTACATATACGATTTAAATTTTATATGTACATAGGTACTTATTTTTTTTTTGAAACATGGTAAAATAAAAAAGAGCATTTCAGAGTGACAATGATGTTCAATCTGTGTAAATATAAATAAAGAAATAAAAAATCTGCTCGTTTTTAACTTTACTCTTATATATAAAGTAAAAGTATACTTACAATTTTTTGGATTTAACAATTTTCAATTACGTGTCTTGCCCCTAAGGTTTTATGTAAACTTTTTTATATCATTATTTTTTTTTTGTTAACATTAAATAAGAAAATTATTTATGTTTTGTTTTCATAAACTTGTTTTTTGAGGTCAATAATATAGACTGGAAAAAAAATAGGTAGGTAGGTAAGTATTTTATAGTAAATTAGATTATTGTTATATTGGGGATAATTAAGAAAAGAAAGGAGAATGAAGAAAGTATTATTAAGAAAAGGATAATGCAAAATTTGAAATTTTAATATTTTCATTAAAAGAATTTAGGAAATGTCCAGAATTCCTTGACTCGCCAGTCACATTAGAAGTAAATGGTTGAATAAATACTTAATTTCCCAATAATAAATTAATTTGCTTTTTTAAATAATCCTTGAAATAAATTCATATTGTTCAATTAATTTTAAAAATATTCATTTTAATTTAAAATTTTTCAATTTAGTCAAACCAAATAATGTACTTAAATCGAAATCATAGTACGAAATAACTCCTGTATTGGGGTTTCTTATGGGTTTTGATCTGAATTGAATTATGTTTGTTTTGCATTTTATTGATTTATATGAAGAAATAATATGTAAGAGTCTATAGTTCTAGTATATGGGCGGCCATTATTAGATTTATATTCCATTCTTATACATAATTCTTAATTTCTACTACACTACGGATTATATTTATTACATACTTAAAATCAATTGAATATTCGGGCGCTGCATACCACATTGTGTGTTGTGTCCTAATTTGTTCAATGATAAAAATTTTCAGTATTAGCTTCTTATAATTATTAAAATTTTATAGACTTATTGAAATCCTTTACTCTTTTAAAATAAATAACAAATATTAAAATAACATGAAAAGTAAAAAAAAAATTATTTTAATTCTTCAAGTGTCCCATGTATGTGACGTACAATATGTATGTACATTTATGCTTTATTAAAAGTTACAATAATAAATAAAAAAGCAAAAAAAAAATTTATGCTCTTACATAAATACTTTTCACACTTTACTCTTTTAATGGAACAAAAATTTTTTCTCAAAAACAAAATAGAACAAAAAAAAAACTTTTCAAATTCATATAAAGTTTATGTCACACACACATACACACACAAATAAACAAACGTACAAAACATTTTCATCAAAATATTTACTATTTTTTTTTAATATTATTGCATGCATTTAAATATCTTGCAATAGATGGCGGTAAAATGAAAAAAAAATTTTTTTTTATCAAAAATCATAAGTGAATTTTAAAAATAATGTTAAAATACACTCTTTCTACTTCAAAATTATTATTTTACATATTATTCTTAAATACATACCTACATGCATATACATATATACAAGTGTGTAAAGCATTGAAATAATATGAATATGCAGCAGCCTCTTTTCTTTAAGTACCAAAATGAATTTTAACATCTTTAAATATGAAAAAAAAAAAAAATTTTTTTTTTTTTGGTGAATAACGAAAATAACAAAAAAAAAAAAAAAGATTACGGCTTGTTTTAATAACTTAATGGGAATGTGAGCAATTGTGCAAATACACTTTTCATCATCATCAGCTTCAGCATCATATACCAAATACAACAAAAATATAAAAATGCTAGGCTATATTTGAAAATAAAGAAAGAAAAAAATAACCAAAAAAAAACATTTCTTTTATACTGCTGAAAGATGAGTGTACCCACTATATATTATGTTTGTTATAAAATGTTTGTATTTAATGTGTGTACACACAAAATAAAAACCAAAAATATCAAAAATCAAAATAAAAATCTGTTTTCTATAAGTACCGTGTGCCTTTGACACTTGGTATTGTATTTCTTCCAAAATATTTTGAAATTTTCAGACTTAAGTCGTCTATATAAAAACTACCAAAAAAAAATTTTTTTTTTTTATATTTTTCTATTTATATTTGATTTGTTTTATATTACACGAACACACACATAAACACGGGGATGTTATATTAAATACATACTTTTATAGAAATGTAAAGAAAGCATAAATGGTAAGTTTATCAAAAAAAAAAAAAAATCTCATCTCTTACACCATAGATAATTTCGCATCACTGTTGTTTAGGTCCAACAACAATAACAATAATAATATTATAAAAGTGTTTACATTTCGATACATTTTGTGTTTAACAAAGACTATGCACATATATGCATATGTATATGTGTGTAAAGAGATTTTTTAATTTTTTCTTATATGAGTCATGTTTGTGACATAGCCGTATTTAATTATGGGGTTGGATTACTTTTTATAGTACTTAATATTTACACTAAAATAAATTCTAATTTTTATTTTTCTTATTTTGTTTTTTTGTTATTATTGCATCTTAAGTAGCAAAAAATCAAAATAGCCACGTTTAAAAAAAAATTTTTTTTTTTCTTTGTTTATTTTCTTTGACATTAGAATAATCGGAAAATGTGATCTTTAAATGCATTAAAAGTATTTTAAATGTGTAAAGTTAATTTATGTATGTACTTTGTTATTTTTTGCTTAATACGTGCATATATTTCGGGGTTAATTCAATTAACGTTGAAATAGGATTATGTTATTAGGGCATTATTATATATAAAAAAAAAATTCTAAGAATTGTGACCAAGTACATATAATTTTGACGCTTAGCACATTAGTGGACGCTCAGGCTATATATTTGCAATAATGACGCATTTCGAGTAAATTACGATTGAAATATTTAAATGTTTAACTTTTAAGAAAAAACGTATGTTTAAATAGAATGAAAATAGGAGCAAATTAAGTATTTTGAAAATATAGAACAATTCTTAAAGCCATTACAACTCTATTGGACATAATAACTCATTTTTGTAAAAATGTCGGATAATCCACTAATTTTCTGAGCGGCTCAATTGGAAATTGGGTACGTAATTTGTATTAATACACGAATTTTTCTTCATTTTATTGACATTAAATCGCAGTTAATCGTTCTTTCGTAAATTATTTTAAATTACTTGTCAAATTTCGTTTTCCAAATTTGTATATCGTTTATACATAGTACATACATTCGGTTAGTTGGTGCAAGAGGATGAAAATATTTTAAGTAAATATGATATGTCCTAAAAGTTAATTAATCCTTAGATAGAGTGATACTTAGCGAAAAAATACCTTCTCTAATTGAATTTCTTTAATATGAAGAAGATCATTTCTTCTGAAAATTCGGTACATGAAATTTATTTATTTCGCTAATTTGCCC